AAGTACTCAATGCTTTTCTTGCCTCGCTCTTCACAGACAAGGTCAGTTCCCAGACTGCTGCATTAGGCAACACAATATGGGGAAGAGGTGAGCAGCCCTTAGTGATGAAAGAACAGGTTAAGGACTATTTAGAAAAGCTGGACATGCACAACTCCATGGGTCCAGATCTAATGCATCATAACAATAGTCATGATTTTATAGCTCTCAAGGGTGCTGAAGGAGTTGGCTGATGTGATTGCAGAGCCATTGGCCATTATCTTTGAAAATTCATGGCGATTGGGGGAAGTCCCGGACGATTGGAAGAAGGTAAATATACTGCACATGTTTTTTAAAAGGGAATAAAGAGAACCCAGGGAACTACAGACCGGTCAGCCTCATTTCAGTCCCTGGCAAAATCATGGAGCAGGTCCTCAAGGAATTCATTTTGAAGCACTTGGAGGAGAGGAAGGTGATCAGGAATATTCAACATGGATCCACCAAGGGCAAATCATGCCTCACCAATCTGATTGCCTTCTATGAGGAGATAACTGTCTCTGTGGACATGGGGAAAGTGGTGGATGTGATATACCTTGACTTTAGCAAAGCTTTTGGTATGGTCTCCCATAGTATTCTTGCCAGCAATTTAAAGAAGTATGGATTGGATGAATGGCCTATAAGGAGACAGGCTATGCCTGCTACTTATAATCACTTCAAATATATCTTCTGTAGTTAATTAAGGTGTTTTATATTTTACCTAAAACATGTGTTTTGGTTGAAGTGCTTAGGAAATCTCAGCTCAGATTACACAGGTTGTTGTGTGTCCTCTCCATATCGAGGGAGAGGTGGACTGGGTAATGAACTGAAACTGGCCAGGCTTTGGATCAGGGCAGGACGGTGCAGTTCTGGGGTGCAAGGCTGGGGATCTCAGGGGAAGTGGCTTGAGCCTCTCTAGTGTTAGTTATGAGTGTCTGGGAGTTTATTCATGTAACTCAATTGTGTTTGTCCCTGTCTGTGTATGGCTGTGTAAGTGCCATTCCTGCCAGAGGTTTTAGCTTGTCTCAGCATCACAGTGTGAGAGGGATACCCCAGGTTGGTGGGACAGAGGTCCCAGAGTCCTGGTTGCACCCCAGGGACCCCATCACAGGAGTTCTGTCCTTGGGCTAGTCCCAGAAAATACAGGGACTCACAAAAGAACCCCTGGTTGAGCAGGGTGTTTGAAGCCAAGGGGGCTGGCTGGCGACGCTTGGATGAAACAGCCAAGTTCACAGACCTCCACCTTTCACTTTTAACGAACTCTTTCCTCCTTTCTTTGAACAAGGATCAGGCTCCCTGAGGTAAAACAGGTTTATATCTGCTCTTCCCATCCTCCAGTGGCTCTGGTGTCCCAGTTGCTTCCCTGCTATAACCCGGGCAATACCCCTTCCTTAGGTGGCTAGCAGCTGTAGCACCATCGTTAGACAAGAACATGGTGGGATGCTGTATGATTGAATATGACCATTTATATCATTGTTGCTAACACTGTTATACAATTGTGAGAAAACTTGTACAAAGTATGTCACTGTTATATTCTATACCTTGGGGGAGTGTCTTGAAACCCCCATATTGCTCATTTGTATATGATTGTGATCTTGCATATAAAGCATGATTTGTGAGGTATCAAGGTAAAGGTTATGATCTGCTGAAAGTCATTTTTCTATCCATATATGTATATCATTACTGCATATGAAGTTATGAGAATTATCATAGAATATCAGGGTTGGAAGGGACATCAGGAGATCATCTAGTCCAACCCCCTGCTCAAAGCAGGACCAATCCTCAACTAAATCATCCCAGCCAGGGCTTTGTCAAGCTTGGCCATAAAAACATCTAAGGAAGAAGATTCCACCACCTCCCTACGTAACCCATTCCAGTGCTTCACCACCCTCCTAGTTAAAAGGTTTTTCCTAATATCCAACCTAAACCTCGCCCACTGCAACTTGAGATCATTACAGGTATTAATATATACTCTGGGTTAATTAATAAGTAAAAAGTGATTTTATTATATACAGAAAGCAGGATTTAAGTGGTTTCAAGTAGTAACAGACAGAACAAATTGAATTACCATATAAAATAAAATAAAAGATGCAAGTCTATGTCTAATCAAACTGAATACAAATAAAATTCTCACCAGTTTCAGAATGCTTCCTTTTACAGACTAATCTCCTTCTAGTCTGGGTGCAGTAGTCACTCATGCCCCTTGCAGTTACTGTCCTTTGTTCCAGTTTCTTTCAGGTATCTTTGGGGGTGGAGAGGCTTTTTCTTTAGCCAGCTGAAGACAAAATGGAGGAGTCTCCCAGGGGTTTAAATAGACTTTCTCTTGTGGGTGGAGACCTCCTCCTCTCTCCTATGCAAAGTCCAGCTCCAAGATGGAGTTTTAGAATCACATGGGGAAGTCACATGTCCATGCATGACTCTGAGTTTTTACAGGCAGAAGCCATTGCCCATATGGTATCTTGAATGTCTCCAGGAAGACTTCTTATGTGGCTGGAACATTCCAAGATTTAAATGCTCTACTCAGGTTATTTAGAAATCAAGCCAGTACAGAGCCAATATTCATAACTTTGAATACAAAAATGATACATGCATACAAATAGGATGAATAGTGTCAGTAGCTCATAACCTTTACATAGATATGTTACATGGCATATGTAGCATAAAACACATTCTAGTTATGTTATATATAAACATACATAAGCATATTTCTATAAAGCCTTATGGGGGGCACCGACCGTTGCAATGACCTCCCGAGGTCTCTCCCACCGCTAGTTTTCTATGATTTTGCAATTGTATAATGAGGCCATCTAGCTGCATAGCTAAGGAGATTCTAGATGTAGTGATCAAAATTGTCATGCAGAGCACATGTTAGACTCACCTTCAGTGTTCAGTTTCACCTTGAGAATATGGTGCCCTGCAGTTCCAGATAAGGTGCCATGTACGTGTTTAAATAGCCAGATAATAGAAGATGCACCATTTATCTCCTTTGCTGTGAGCTACCAAAGCCTCCCTGTCCTATGCCCAGCATCCCACCTTCCCAGCTAACATGAGGGCTTATCCTGTCACCTCACTCAGCTATTGTCCCTCTAGCTTCAAAGCTAATCACTTACCCTGCCCCCAAGACCTGGCTCAGGGAAAAGGGCTCCCAGCCCATACTCATTGCAGGAACACTGCCAGCTACAGGCCCCCAGCCAAGAGGAACAAAAGGGAACTGAAAGCTAAGGAAACAAGCCACACAATGGTCTCTTCCCTCAGGACTTTGTGGCTGACCTTTAGGGCCCACAAGTTGTATGATGCACAATCTCACCCACCTGCCTTACAACCCTGCTACCAACCATCCACTGCTCTTATAGGGTTTCCTAGCTTCCCTCTCCGCTCCTCATTGGTCTGTCGGCCCCAGCACTGTGTCCTCACTGCACTCACTACAGGCTCCTTGTCAGGCTGCAGCAGCTCCTGTCCCAGCCCCAGAGCAGAGGGACCCCAGCTAGGGGGGCGTGGAGGGAGGTGGAGATAATCCAGAGAGTGACTGGGGCTGGGGAGGGGAGGGGCCAGCAAAAGGGGTGGCGCTTTTGGGGAAGAGGCAGAAGTGAGGCGGGGCCTGGAGGAAGAGGTGGATAAGAGAGTGGAGCTTTGGAGGAATAGGTGGCAGAGTGGGAGGGGCCTTTGTGGAAATGTGTGGGACAGGGGCAGGGGGCAAGGACTTGGGGAATAGGTGGAGCAGGGCACAGGGCCTCAGGTATCCAGTTACCAGCAATTAGAAAGGTGGCAACCCTATGAGTTAATGAGCTGTACCCAGACTGATTCCTCCGTTTGTCAGGCAGACACAGCACAGTGAGGCCAGGAAAAGATTTCATGTCCCTTTGACAGTGCAGTCAGTGTTTCAGGGAAGAGGGCCCAGCACTATGTCACTAAACCAGCTCTGAAC